AAACACCACTCTTTAGTGGTTGGCCCGTTCACAAAAAAATCACCAAATGAACGGCCAGTCACCTTCAAGTGACCGGTGCCGGTCATGTTCACGGGTCCAGCACTGGTTGCAGGGACCCGGGCTAAGCAGAGACTCCTACCCCCTGCTCAGCCCCGGTTGAAGCAGACGCCGTGCTGGCAGGATTGCACGGGGGCTTCGGGAGCTAGGTTTGAACATGCTACTACAGGTCTTCATGAGGGTGCACAGTGACTCCCATCTAGCGCAGTAGACTACAGATAGCCTTGTTGATAGCCTAGCAGATAGCTTCATTGATAGCCTACTAGTCGATAGGGGGATCGATACCCCTAGTTGATAGGTAAGTTGATGTCCTACTTGATAGATGAGTTGATATCCCAAGTGATGACCTAGTTACTAGGCCAGTTGTAGTATGCACACTATTTTTAACTACCATTTTGTCAAAACAGACTTTTTTTTTTTTTTTTTTGAACGGAATTGAAACTGAGTTATTTGACCGAAAACACATCCGAATTTTTGGCTCCTGAGGGTTCGGCGTTCTTTTTTTTTTTTTTTTTTTGAGACAACTGCGCCTGTGACTGCTGCACAGTTCAGAATTCGCAGAAATAACAGTCCACTGCAAGATTGGGCCGTGAGCAGTTCGAAACAGCAAAAGAAACTGCGGTTTAGACGGCCTACTGGTTCGATAATGGGCAAAAACGGGAGGTCGCCTGTGCTAACATGTACCCGTAGCAGGCCCTCCCGTTTTTTTTTTTTTTTTTTTTTTTTTTTTGAAATAGCATAGTTTCCATATAGCTGCAAAAGGAGGCCGGGAATCCCTCCACATTTCAACCCGGGAAAGTCACCAGTCCTCAATGAGGCTTCACTGGAAACCGGGTCCAGTGTCCCATGCTCCTATCGATAGACATGCTATTTCTACAAAAAGGGAACTGGTCCGTCTCATCTGATCAATCCTGATGTTACGCTGGACCATAACCAATCATCAAAAGACTACTCAACACTCTGACCCTACTGCTGCCTAACTCTACTAAGTAAAATGAGAAAGGAATTTTATCTTGCATGAGTGAATTTTTTGTAAATTAAAAACAGTAAATATAGAAAAATTCCCTAGATAGCAAACCGAAAGGAGAATCGGAGCAGTGAAGAAGCGAGGTTGATCACCTTACCCCTCTTAGGGGTTGAGTCCAGCGAAAGGAATTTTCTTTAATTAAAATCTTTTATTTGCTATTTATATACTATAAATTAAAAATAAATAGCTAGGGTGTGTCAAATTGAGAGGCGCGACTCCCGCGCTACTCCCTAAGGGTCACCTAGCCTACCCCTAGTCAGTAGAGTAGAGCTAGTCGATTTCCTCTACCTAAAAGGGATTTTTTTATTAAATTAAACCTATTAAAATTCCTTAAAAATATAAATATGGCTTAGAAAATAGCAAAACAGTGCGGAGGAACCTTTTAGCTCTTTTCTTGGTCAGGGAAGGGCTTCTTACTCCAGAGAGGTGGCTGGAGCGGCCGCAGGCAGCGTTCCCTCGAACAGGGCACACGCTTTGTATTCGAGGGAACTCCACTATAGGGTCTGTTTGCTTTGTTTAGGGTCGGGATTCCGACCTTTGACACCTTAGAGGACTCTTGGGATAGATTGGAGATAGATCGACAGCGTTTTATTGGGGCTCCCAACGAAGGGAGGCGAAGCGCTGCCAAATTTTTTAGAAATCGACAGTCTGTTTCCACTATCCTTCACTTTCTCTACCCATTTCTCTTACTACGTCCTCTCTAGCCATCAGTTGGATGTGTCCGCTAGCGCAGGTAGAGGTCTACGAGGCCAGTAGCGCTTGGGACGTGGAGCCCCCTGAGCTCATAGAGGGGGATCTGGTGGAGCTCACGATTCCCGCGCGCAGCGCCCGATATACCGACGGCCAGTTTGCGTGGAGGTCCATTGTCTTGTCTGCGGACGTGTGGCTCTGGGCGCACAGAGAGCACCGGCCTGGACAAGGGGTGGGCTTAGTGAGAGCCTACCTGTACTTAGGACCGGACCCGGTCAAGGAGGCCGCGCTGAGCCTCGCTACGACAGGGACCAGTGACGCGGTTAGCAGGGCTTTACGCTACCCGAGGGACGAGGTCGCCGCCTTCCGAGCGGAGGACTCGAGCGACCCGCTGACGCTATTTCACGGACGCCCTCCTCTTGATATCACAAGCGAGTTTGTGATAGCGCGAGACCGGTTTTTCCCGTACAGCGTTTTGAGTCTGCGGGCGGTAGTCCCTGCGTTCGTTGTAGAGAGCATCTTTGGAGGTATAGGCGGAGTGGTCGAGGCATACTTAGCCTATCAGGATCTCAAGGTCCTTGCCAGGGGGCGCGGTGACCTCGACTACCTCTATTATTCGCTTGCGACCGGTGGGCCTCGTTGGAGGGACGAGAGGGTTCGGCTTATAGAGCTGATCCGTTCGATAGATGACGAGTGGCCCCAGTCTCCGTGCGTTTGGGATTAGCTGGACCGTGAGCTCCGAGCAGGCCCCGAGTACGTGACCTGCATCGGGAGACTCTTCTCAGACGACTAGGGTAGCTGGTGGAGTGAGGACCCTGGGCGACCTCTGATACACGGCTATCAGTTAGTAGAGTATTATCAGGCTATAGGAAAGGCTCCATATCGCGTCGAGGACGAGTTCGACGATGAGGGTTGGGAGCGAGAGGACGACGAGGACGCGTGGGAGACGAATTGGGTTGACCCAGAGAGTGAGGTTGACGAGGAGGAGGACGACACGGCAGACGCGCACTTCCCATGCATAGGAGTACCGATTAGGGCCTAGGCAGGTTGTGCGGCGAGACGAGTGCGAGTTAGGCTAGCGGTGAGACTCGGCAGTAGAGATAGAGAGTGAGATAGAAGTTCCTGCAGACAGATGGTAGAGGAGATCGAGAGAGTTGACCTACCCTTTGGTGATTTCAGATGGCCTAGACCGCCCGAGATCATAGCTCCCGACTTGGTGGAGCTTGACCTACCGGCCAGATGCGTCACTGAGCCAGGGCTGATTGACCATTGGGGGTCGACTCGGCTGGGGCCAGACGTGCACCTATGGTCATATACCGTTCAGACTTACGAGTCTGATCCGCAGAGGTGGCGGGCGCCTGACACGACGTCCATAGAGGCCGTAGGGCATATTTATTACTCACGTGAGGTGAGCGGCATCGTCTATATCCAGGGCTTAGTGCATGGGTTCTGGCAGTATGAGAGAGAGGTGAGGGAGATCCTGACAGGCGTGATAGAGAGTGCACGAGAGGGGATTGAGGATCTGTATGGGCCTGTCAGGGAGACGAGGATTACGTTTCGGATAGGAGGGTTTGCTTTCCCGACAGTCCGACTACGCGCCAGGTTCCCGGTCTTTCTAGTGGAGCAGCTTTGGGGCTTGGGGTGTGTCGTGGAGAGATATTTCGCGGCTCTAGAGCTCGACGGACTAGCTAGAAGGCAGACGGATAGGGACTGGATTGCCTACGCACAGTTCGTAGGCGGGCCTCTTACCGGAGAGAGGGGGATACAACTCATTGAGTTCTTACGTGCTCTAGCACCTACAGCAGACCCCCACTTTTTTTTCCCGGACCAGCCCTTGGAGTTCTGGCTGGCACTAGATAGGGAGGTCCAGAGACCAGTGGATAGTTTGGAGGGGGTCGGACGACTCTTTAGCGAGACTCCCGGTGATAGGCCTGCTTCCCTCATCTCTATCTGGGAGTTGGAGGAGCATTACCAGGGGATATATCCAGATAGAGAGGAGCTCGGTTGGGACGCAGACGATCGAGATTGGGAACGCCTCAGCGATACAGACCCTTGGGGACAGGACGTGAGACCGTGGGGAGACGTGCCTAACGCAGGGCAGGGCGAGATTGGCGCCAATATAGACGGACCGCAGGAGGACGGCTGGGGACATCTCCTTCAGGCCGATGGGCAGGAGGATATCCCATGGGGTCAGGGGGTAGATAAGGATGGAGATGAGGATATGCCAAATGCGCGAGACGATTAGTGGCAGGGCATATCCGGGCGTAGCTTAGAGAAGAGAGTAGGAGATCGGTTAGTAGGCACGGGGAGAAAACTTTAGGCAAGACGAGAGTGGTAGTAAGAGCAGGAAGGGATGGCAGACATGGATACACTAAGAGTGACTCTTTCCTTACGACGAGATAGGACGGGCGGCTGGGAAGAAGAAACGTTGGACAATGTTGCGCGACAGATCAGACTCATGACGGAGCATGCCCTGGAGATACGGAGAGGCCAGAGATACGTCGAGTTTACTATCTACTTCCATGGAGCTGACGAGAGAGTGCACAGCACCTACTCAGCCATACTGGATCTGAGTGGGAGAGTTGTCTGAGGAGTTAGCAACATCGTGAGATAGGATGCATCGAAGGGAGTAGGGTGATACAGATCGAGTGGCGAAGTGGAGATGAGGAGTGACTCGGCGGCTTGGCTAGCTTATGTTCTCTTACGAGAGTCCGAATCCTATAGCGTGAGGAAACTTGTAAGACCCAGAGAGACAGCTGTTGGATATGATATTCCTCTTCCTGTGAGGCTAGAGGAGACAGGCTGTGTTCCGATACGTTACCTTGGAACTCGGCTGGCAGAGGGACTTTTCCTTTGGACGGTGATACTAAAAGATAGATGACCCGATAGAACTCATGACCTAGAAGGGGTGGGACATCTGATAACGGACAGAGCTCATGATTTAGACATAGGATTGACACTCGCATGGGCCAGCAGGGCTTGGTGGAGAAACGAGTTGTTGGTCAGAGTGATCGTTAATCAGCAACTGGCGAGACTCTCTGGAGGAAGGTCGTACTAGAGTCGCTTGGTATACGGACCTCCGCATCCGACCTTCTACCCGAGAGAGGGTTGGCGATTTGGACTTCCTACGTTCGTAATAGGGCAGACCTATGGGAGCGTAGACCGTCTGAGTGTAGCAGTGGACCACACACTTTACACGCTTTGGGAGGGCTTAGCTCCCCGTTTCAAGGAAGCGTACTACGCCATTTGTGTAAGGTGGGGGTCACCCAGCAGAGATGCGCTTGACGACATCATAGACGTTACTTGCTGGGTGGACTGACTGAGGCCAGTCGATCTGATTAGGTACTGTAGGAAACGAGCGGAGATTGATTTTGTGGGGCTGGAAGATGTGAGGTTTCTCTTCGAGGTCCAAGCTTAGGGAATGCCGGGGAGAACGGCAACTGTGGTGCGCATAGATAAGCAACTGGTAAGCACAGGGTACACTGTGACGGTACTTCTCCGAGCATACATAGATGAGGACTTGACGGTGAGGGAGTGCCGACTACGAGCCAGGGATTTGATCCGCGAGCATAGAGTTGATGTACTGGCGCAGGTGACCTTCCAGACCTCGATTTCCTATGATGTGATGGTATGGTCTGATGGTTATATGTGTGTGGAGCACTACCACGATGAGACGGTAGCAGAGGCTAGAGCGAGGGTATGAAAATGAGCTGGAAAGAGATGTGGACAGAGTATGGAAGAGGAGAGTGAGGCGGTCGGAAGAGTAAGAAAGCGCATTAAAGAACCACTGTTGAACCAGGTGAAGGAGTTGGGAAACAGGATAAGGGAGAACGGTTCGTGCCAAGATGAGGGCAAATTGCGTAGGGTCGTGCTCGCGACGAGAGAGTTAAAGAGTCTGTTCCGCCAAGATAGAGAGATTATCCAGGCGTGGAGATCAGACTTTGTGGAGAGGGTAAAGGCGAGAAACCTATCACGCGAAGGAGCTAAGGAAAAGTCTGCAGAGGACGTAACAACAGAGGACAAGGTAACGCAGGAGGAAAGCAGCAGGGCATGAGCGGAACTGCACTATACACGACGGACAGGTACCCATTGCATGTGGTAGGGAGACAGGACGGACCGTTGGTGTTAGTGATCGCAGAGCTCCAGCTCCATACCAGGTTGTGCATAGTAAAAGAGGCAGAGTGTTTTCCCCGTGCGCTGCGAGAGGCTAGGGGAACAGGACTTTGGATTGGAGTGGAAGAAGGACGAAGGATAAAGTACGTACTACGCACGACACCATTCGATGGGTGACCTCTGATAAGGGCGTGGTACGAGACGCCCAGAGAGACTGAGAGGTTGAAGATAAGCGAAGCCAGGAGAGCTGGGGAGCTAGGGAGAGTTGTGGTAGATGGAGCGATACTCAGGGTGCTAGCTGCTCACGACCGATACTGGAAGGAATCGATAAAGACTTTAGAGGTCATAGAGGATAGTGGAGATGAGGAAGATTTTGAGACGTTCTATGAAATATTGGAGTTGTCAGCGATGAGAATACGAGCGGCTATAGCACTGACTCTCCTCAGATGCTAGACAAATGGTCTTGAAGCTGTCTGGGAGTTAGAGGAGGAGAAACAGAGATTGTAAGCTCTTGGAAAGATAGTGGAGGTCAGTGAGGTCAGATGGGAGGCTTTAGATGGCAGTGGGAGGAGAGTTTCCTCCGTTCGCGGGCTACACGATTCAGGACGGACTAGATGATCTAGTGAGGAGGACGGAGATAGACGCTCGAGGACTCTTGAGGGGTGCCAGTCAGGAGATATTGGTTAGGCTTGGGACTGCGATCTGCAGCAGGTGTAGAGATCCTGTCACGGGTGTAGTGCAGATCAGGAGAGGCGCGACCTTGTTGGCAGATCCCGAAGGAGAGGTTTACATAGACACAGGGATTCTTGGGATAGAAGGTGAGCACGAGGTCCGCGACCGGAACGGAGTATTGGTGGCGGTGATCAGGGCAGTCGAGAGCTAGTATTGGAGACGAGCGCGAACCGTGAAAAGTAAACAGGTCCGGACTGCGAGTTCTGTCACAGGTTCGGGCTGCTGCGAGTTCTGTCACAGGTCCGGGCTGCTGCAACTGTCATAGGTCCGGGCTGTAACGCCTGGCGTGAGTGCCCAACTACAACTTCTGGTAGCCTATGGAACCAGACACGATGGGGTCACAACCGACCACGGGCGAAGCAGGAGAGGAGTACAGGACATCGCCCGACCGAGCACTGAGGGATCTGAAGGAACGAATTAGGCAGGGAGCACCGCTGAGATGGGCTGACCAAACCAATGACGGAGAACCCGACGTAATGGGCGAGTCGGTCGTGACAGAGCTGCAGGAGACTTTGAAGACTGGGACTTCGAGCGCTCGACAGGAAGCGACGACATGACGCTCCCCCGAGTATGAACGGAGAGAAACCAGGGCGGATAGGCACGGGGACGACTGGAGAGAGAGTTAACGAGATTCCTATTGGAGGGACAGAGACAGGGATAGAGCACCGCCCCAGCGTGTCTTCGACCCCCAAACGGGGGAGTCACATCCGCTTCCTTACGAGAGCAAGGACCGCTATATTATTACGCACAAAGCCTCTGAGCCTCCTAATTTCAGGAGCTATGGTATCACAAAATATCTGGAGAAGTGGAAGCTTCATGCTAGCCTGAGTCAGTGGTCGAAGGAAGAGATTATAGAGAACTTCCTATTTAATGTGGATCCAAGTCTCGGCAAAGAAGTAAAGGAAGCCTGACCGAAGGATGGGAAATGGACTACGTATAAGAAGAACCTCATTGAGCTTTACAAATTAGAAAATAAGAAGTACTCCATCAAGGACCTTGAGACTATGACTCAGGATGAGGACGAGAGCGTACGGGCGTTCGAGAAACGTTTTCAGAAGATCTCTGACGTACAGATGAAGAAGGGGAAGATCTCAGAAGTCGAGCGCTGTACAATCTTCATTGGACACATGTCCAAAGGTAGACAAAAGAGCATACTTAGAGATCTCCCACGCGACAAGCTTGACTTCCCTGAAGTCCTAAAGCTCGCGATAAAGGCAGAGGCAGACGACTACAAGGACTTGGTCTGGAGGGGAATGAGGGGACGTGACTTCCCCCTCTATAAGGAGTATGTCACTGATGAATGTCCTGATTTCAATGACTATCCCTGGTCAGAAAAGAATGAAGCAGTGGCCGAGGAAGTGAAGGAGATAAGGGACATGGTACCACTTCGCTGGGACCGTAGGAACACCGATTCCTGGAGGAGTGTCGAGGATAGGAATCCCCGAACGCTAACTGATTATCGTGCGAGGGAAAGGGAGAGAGATGATGAGTCATGGCGACAAAGGGATGATGAGATAGACCGGGACCGCAGGACTCGCGAGACATATGGACGAGCTAGAAGACAAGATGATTACTCGCGTAGCCCTCGTTGTGAGGCTGATGGGGGTAGAGGCGACTCTCGCGGCCGGTGGGAGTCAGATCAGGGCCGGCGAGACGGATACAGGGATGGCAGATATGAGAGATCGGACCGAGATGGATATAGGGACGACAGATATGAAAGGTCGGATCGAGATGGATACAGGGGTGGCAGATATGAGAGGAGAGATCGAGACGGAGACCGACGAGATAGCTCGCGCGGAAGATATGACCGCGGGGGATTCTCGAGAGAACAGCGCGACGATTCGCGGGGGTGGTACGACCGAGGAGATCGACGCGATGAGTCACGCGGACGATACGACCTTGGAGACCGCCGGAATGACTCACGGGGGCGAAATGAGCAAGGAGGGTCTGGAGGAGATCGCCGAAATGATTCACGCGAACGGAATGAGAGAGGGGGATATGGCGCGTCATCTGATCCGTATCCGAAGTCCCCTGACCCTAGAGCGGCCAGGGGTTCGATCTCTAGGAGCGCAGACGACAGGCCATCCACTTCTAGGAACTCTTGCGTCTACTTTAGAGGGGATGATCATATCAAGAGAGACTGTCCGGATCTTAAATGGGAAATAGATGAGGGACTTGTCGTGCTTGATGATCGCAAGTATGTCAAGTGGGCAGATGATCTAGGAAACGTATCAATGTTCCCTTCGATGAAGGAGAATGTTGAAGCAAGGAGAGTAAAGTCGAGTAAAGGAAAGGAGCCGGTTAGGAGTCACAGCATCAAGATAACTTTCGAAGGAGATATGGCAACCACACCCATAAGGGTGGCAGCTACCAAGTCGGCGAGGGGGTCTACATCAAGGAAGACCGATACGGATTACGTGATGGCAAAGAAGGATGGATAGCGGATCGATGGAGAGGAGGTTATTCTTTCACCGCGAAAGCGGGGAGTGAAGAAGTTCTTGATGAAGAGTTCGCTGGATGAGATTTACACGGTCGAGCCACTGAGACGGGTCCTTCGGCAGCCCATGCAGTGCTCTATTCTGGAATATCTGGCAGCATCAAAGCTGGCTCGCGACGAGTTACAGCTGATCACGCGAAAGACTCGCATACCTCTATCAGAGGACGCTCAGATGGCCCCAAAGGCGGATGCTCCTGTTGTAGCAGTATCAGAGGTGACAGCTAGAGCAGATCGCATGGCGACAGTTCTACTCGATGGGATGGAAGGCGTGCCTCCAGACAAGTTTTACATACTTGGAAGTGGGACCGTGGAGGCGATCCTAAACGACGGAGCGGTTCTAGATGCTGTGATCGATAACGGTAGTGAGGTTGTCACTATAGACAAGGATCTGGCAGAGCGAGTTGGACTGGGACTCGATAGGTCATACCTATTCGAGATAGAGTCAGCTGATGGGAGAAAGCAACAGATCACAGGGGTTTGTCACAAGGCAGCCATAGAGGTCCAAAGGGTACGAGTGACCCTGCCAGTCTTTGCAGTCAAGAACTGCAGCTCTGACCTGCTCTTGGGACGGACGTGGTTGAGCCATGTGCATGCGGTGACGATAGAGCGACCGGACGGGAGCCAGACACTGTCCATTAAGAAGCTAGATTAGACGCGGGTTATGATTGAGACGGTGGTGCCTCGAGATCCGAGGAACAGAGCAGCTCTCGCTGTGGGTGCGGGACCCAGTGATCAGGTTACGTCATTGCCTATCTCCGTCCGCGCGGTGCGATTTTGCGAGAAGAAGTACAGACCTCTGCTCACAGAGGAAGAAGGTCGGATTGTAGAACTGGAAGATTTAGGGAGTCGGCTGATAGTGGACGGCAACTCGTATCCAAAGGAGGCAGATGAGGAGTTTGGCGGCGTGGTATCTGTGTCTTTTTTAAGGGCACGGCCCCCTATGGGGGGCTACCCAAGCGACACAAGCGAGTAGCTCCCAAAAAGTTAAGCCAGCGGCGGTGGGCCGCGAGCGATCTGCACTGGAAGGGATATCGGAAGAAGAGATCGCAAAGGAAATCAAAGAAAGAAAGAAAAAGGAGCCGCAACGCCTAACGGAAGAGAGGATAGCAGGGATGGACATCGGGGATGAAAATCTGACCCCACATGAGCGGGAACGTGTGATAGAAATCTTAAAGACGTGCGATAAGGCTATAGCTTTCAGCGACGCGGAGCGCGGTAGGGTTGACCCTCGATACGCTAAGCCAGCAAGGATTTACACCGTTCCATATGTTCCATGGAATGACGCAGGATGGAAATACGCCCAGAAGGAGAAGGAAGAGGTTATCGCTTTCCTGAAAGAAAAGATGGTTTCTCATGTTGCAGAGCCATCTGACAGCGCTTATGCTAATCGATGGTTCTTCCTACGAAAGCCGAATGGCAAGATCCGGTGGATCCAGGACCTTCAGAAGGTCAACGCGGTGACGATTCGAGACGTAGGCTCCATGCCTCACGCCGACTTACTGGCTGAAGGCGCCGCGGGCTGGTCGATTTATTCGGTCTGTGATCTGTTCTCAAGCTATGATGAGGTACCGCTTGATCCCAGGGACAGGCACCTCACGACTATGCACACGTCATTGGGACTGATACAGATGATGGTCGTCCCTATGGGTTGGACTAATGGGGTAGCCGTTTTTCAGAGAGTCATGGTAGCCGTCCTCAAGGACTTTATTCCTGAGAAGGTTGAAGTCTTCCTGGATGACTTTCCTATAAAAGGACCAGTAAAGAAAGATGAGACAGAGGTCGTGTCAGGAGTTAGAAGATTCGTCGAGCAGCACCTAACCGATATTTGCGCGGTACTTGAGCAGCTGGATGATGCAAATTTGACAGTCAACGGAATGAAGAGCCGGTGGGTCGTCTCGACTATTAAGATCTTAGGCTTTATCTGCGACTCGAGAGGACGCCGAGCGGATCCTGCAAAGTTAGACAAACTCCTAAATTGGTCGTCGTCATTGCATAGTGCTACAGAGGTCCGTCAATTTCTGGGAGTGGTCGGATATTGGCAGATTTTCATACGCAAGTATGCGGAGAAGGCTGAGTCATTGAGGGTACTCCTTCGGAAACTGAAAAATTCTACTAGGATTCTTCCCAGGAACTCGCTATGCAAGAGCTTAAAGATGAATTTAAGGAGGGAGGGCGCGTATTGGGCGTGTCATTCTTTGATGATGAGGCCGGGAGGCCCTTCATAGTATCCACGGATGCTGGACCTTGTTCAGTTGGTGGGCTGCTGTCTCAGAAGGACGCTGAAGGGAAGGAAAGACCGTTGAGATTTGAGAGTAGGACACTTAATACGGCTGAGCGTAACTACAGTCAATTCAAGAAGGAAGTGTAACATGTTCTGTGGTGTCTAGACATGTTCAGACACTATATCTACGGACGGCGATTCATCTTAAGAGTAGATCCCACAGTGGTCGCCTCTGTCGTCCAGAAGGACTTTAGTCTGAAGGACCCGACCATCGCACGATGGTTAATACGGATTCGACTCTATGATTACACAGTTGAGAGAATATCGGGTACTAAAAATGTCGTGGCGGACGGCCGTTCTCGGATCCCTCTGGAGGCCGAGCGTCCGATAGTGGTTGGAGCCGAGACGCACCGATCGATTCTTGGTTAACCTTTACGAGGGCAAATACCGAACGATCGGACTACATTTGTCAGGAGAGGAGAGTCAAGATTCAGATATCCGGAGACAAGCGGCCCAGTACTGCCTTAGAGCGGGCCATCTATTCCAAAGGTCAGTCGGGTCGGGGATGCCCCTACGAGTAGTCTGTGATTCTGAAGAGAGACAGACGATAGTTGTGGAGCTTCACGATGGGGTTGACGGACATCATAGAGGAGTCAAAGGAACCTACGAAAAGGTACGCAAACTGTACTGGTGGGAGGGACGGTATAAGGACGTCGAGAGATACTGTATAACCTGCGAGGAGTGTCAGAAGAGAGCTCTTGTGAAATACAAAGAGCCACTTCATCCATCCTATCCGACCAGGCCAGGAGAGAAGGTACACATCGATCTGGTGAAGATGCCGAAAGGAGTAGGCAATATGAACTATGTGATGAACATACGAGATGACTTCACTGGATTCGTGGATGGTAGACCTATCAGGAGTAAGTCGGCTAGGGAAGTGAAGAACTTCGTCCTAGAGTACTTATCTAGGTATGGATGCGTCAGTAAGATAGTGATGGATAGAGGGATCGAATTTCTAGCCGACGAGGTTCAGAGTGTGTTCAAGAGAGCCGGGGCGAGAGTTTCGATAGCTACCGCCTACCACCCGCAGTCAAACTCTCCAGTAGAGAGGGGACACCAGTCTCTGATAGCATCACTGTCCAAGTGGTGCAGAGGTAAGGACAGTGATTGACCACGATATTTTCGGTACGCAATATGGGCGGACAACGTCACGGTCCGGGCTAGCACTGGATACCCTCCATACACCTTATGGTTCGGGCGGCATTGTCCTCTTCCCATAGAGCTTCACGTCGACAGTTGGACTACCGTCGACTGGGCGGAAAAGATGTCCAGAGAGGAACTCATAGCTTCCCGAACAAGACAGATAGCCTACGGTTTGGAAGACAACCTTATCACGGCAGCAGATCGTCTGGCAGTGGAGAGGAACAAAGGTAAAGAGAGATGGGATAAGTGCGCGGGTTAGGAAAGAAAGGGTAAGCCTGGGAGATATGGTCCTTCTCTACGACGCAGCTCTGGAAAGGACGTGGACCGGAAAGCTAGCCAACAGATGGATGGGACCTTACAGAGTGGTTGAGGCGCTCGACTGGGGTGCCTATATGATAGCAGAATTAGACGGATCCAAGTGGAAGGACCCAGTGGCGGGTGCTAGGTTAAAGTTGTTTAGACCCAGGCCTGCACCCACCTTATCGCTGACAGGCCCAAAAGGGAAAGGGAAGGCCAAAATGGAGGATGGAGCCCCCTTGAGACGATTCGAGGCAGGGGAAAGCTCCAAGAAGAGGAAAAGAGAGGAGAGAAGGAAGGTCAAAGGGATGGCATTAGGAAAAGAGAAGAAATGGTTATTCGTGTTCAAGAGGGTCGGACGGAGAGTTCGCATTAGACAAACTGGCGGGTCGGCACCTTTCTCGGGCCAACGTCAGAAGAAAAGGGGAATCCTACTAAGGCCAAAATCCCGAAGGAAAAGGAAAGTCGAGAAACATCATCTTAGCCCCAGAACTAATAACAAACTGAAACATACGACAATTAAACCCCGACGTGGGCGTCCTTTACGGGCAATCACCCTGAAGCTCGTCCGCTTCGTTTGACGTAAGTGGCTAGGGTTCGACGGGGGCGTCGAGAAGAGGTCCGGGCTAACTGTCATGCGGCCACAAGGGATGGACCGCCTGAAATCCGCGGCTTTGGGACTTAGGCTCATAGACAAGTCCAAGTTTTGACTGTACTCTGGTTTGACCGGGCAGCGAAAATTAGGGAAACTCAGGGCACCCCTGGTTTTGGGCGCACTGAACCTTACGAGTAACCCTCAAAGATGGCAAAATGGGTAGCCGCTCCCGGCATATCCATGGACCGTCATTTCAGCCCGATCCGAGGCTAGGCCTCGAATGGCCGGCCGCAAGGGGGCATCGCGGGGACTAACCCCGCCGCAACGTTTTTGCAGCATACGACCGGGGCCGAAATGAGGCCTCGAATTTTTGTCTATTTTAGTACCATAATTAAAGATGGGGAAAAGGGATTAAGACCAGTAGGGGAGAAGAGAAAAACATAATATCCCTTAATTTCTTTATTTTTCACGGCATTTAATTCTAGGGGGAATACCCTTGTTATTTTATGTTCCCGGCAATGAAATCAAAAACATAGAAGAAGGATTAAAAATGGTAAAAGAGAAAGGAAACAAAAGGAATTCGGCCATTTATTTAAACTTTCTCGGAATTTAATTTTGGAGAATTTACGGTTAATTTACTATTTCAGACGATAGAATTAAGGAAAAGGAAGAATGATTAAAAACGATGAAAGGGATGGGAACCCATGACTATTTGGAGATTGGCCTAATTTCGCCTCGATTACCCGCCATCAGCTCTGACCCCAGATTGATCATTTTCTCTAGATTCTAACAGTTTTGACTACTGCCGATGATCGAGATTCCCTGGGTCGCTTTCCCTGGTTTGCTTGATTACTAACTTTGCCGCAGTTGGGATGTTCTGAGAGCGGGAGTCGCATGGACAGCATGGGGTGGTACTACCTTGGACCGACAGTATGGTATTTGGCTCGGAACGGATACATGGTTCAAAGAGGTTCGGTATTGTTACGGAGTGGCTGTGACCTACGGTATCCAACGTGTTCCTGGTTCGGTATGGGCTCGACGTCAGTTGTTTCGGGCTTGGGACCACTACGATGACTTCCTTTCAAGTTTACGACTACTACGGTGGCTTATTTTCTGGTTCGGACACATCGGCATGACTCAATATCAGGTTCGGAGCCACCTCAGCGGGATATTTCAGCGGCCATTTTCAAGTTCGGCACCGGTATGGCCCTTTATTTCGGGTTCGGGATGACTATGGAGGTTTATCTCTACGTCTGGGGCCGCTACGGCCATTTATCTCAGCTTCGATGCCACTACCATGATCTATTGTCAGGTCCGGGGCCACCACCGGGGTTTACTTCAGGCTCGGTATCATCACATCGGGTTATTTCAGGTACTGCACCAACGCTGCGGATTATTTCAGATCCAGGGACACGATATTGGTTTATTATCAGACCAAAACTACCTCGCCGACGACAAGGTTCAGAGATCGGTGATGAATTGGTATGGGCGCGGCACTAAGGCTCAGGTTCAGAATTTCACCGGTGTGGCTACATTCCATGGTACTCAGGTTCAGTGCGGCGTTCCGCGGTACTCTACGTGTTCCAGATTCGGAGATGGTTTCATGGTGGCAGCGTTTTTTGGGGGGTGTTCGCCGTCGGTGCGCCATCAGTGGGGTGCGGGTCACTCTATTATTTCCGGCTTTCAGCATTGCCATCTCTGTGGCCTCATACGAATATGATCTGTGCGGTTCAGTCCCCAGGTCTCGAAAGGGAAATTGCGATTCTGAAGTATTGAACTAGGAATGGGCATCGAGCGGGCGTAGACGGGCATACCGGGCCCTACGATTGTCCGGGGGCCAGCCCAGAGCAGTTTGGGGACAACGAACAACTTTGGCCTTCTCAGGACGCCCTGCATGAAGCCAAGGCCAGAGAACTGGTGAAGGGGGGGAACTCCGTTCTGAATATAGCTAGGCGGATGTTTGATAGAAGGGGAACTCGGTGCGAGCAAGGTGTCCCCGCGCATGCAAGCACGGGGCAGAAGCGTCTGCGCTCAGGCGGTTACTCCGCGTGTGCGAGGGGAGTGGGAAACCGCGAGGCGGTTGAGCACGCTTGGATAGATGATTGCTTGAGAGAGAGGGTAGGGGGAGTGTGCAAGGTGTACCCGCCCACTAGCACGGCTCGAAGCGGGCAGCGGTCAACGGCGGGAATGGCAGGGAGAGACAGACGGTGTGCAAGTCGTGGCCCGCGGCCGCTACTGGGTCGGAAGACAGGCGTTGAAGGCTGCTACAGAGAAGCCCGTTTGAAGGGCGGGGAACAAACGACCAGATTCGGACTGGGGGGGGTTGCTTGGAACATGCCCGCATCGTAAATTCGCAGGAAGCGGCAGTAGCTGGTGGTGGGATATCAGCCATACCCATTGGAGAAGAGTTCAGACTGGTGCACCAGCTATACGCCCCCCCCCCCGCTCTTCCACAGTTGACTTCGTGCCTGCTCGCTGGACAAGGGCGAGAGTTCATTTGAACAGGGATTCAATCCGGGGTGCTCGTCGCGCTCGGCAATACGTTGCAGCCTGATGTTGAGACGAGAAGAGAGTCGAACGAGCTGCATGGCGTGGGGCGGTGCTGAGTGAAGGACGAGAAGAGAGTTGACCGCTGATTCTCGGACTAAGCCATAATCTGCAACCGAGAAAACTGCCGCAGTGGCGACCCGCGAACCAATGGTGAGACATAACAAGTAAGCTCATTTTGCGACAGGTGACTGTTATGGAAAACGATCAGACCAAGAGTAAGAGTCGAGAATGCGTATTGTGCCCGGTATATCCACACAGCTCGAGTGGTATCCACTCCAGTTTGCAAGTGAACCCTTGGGTAAGTTTCGCGCGGGGGAAATAGTGAATCACACGTGCGTAATCAAGCCACAGTAAGAACGTAAGAGGCTTGGAGGGGAAAAGTCGAGGGAGAGAGGAACTGACGGAGAGTGAGAAAGTGCGAGAGTGAGAGAGCGGGAGAATGGGAAAGTGAGAGAGTGGGAGAATGGGAAAGTGAGAGAGTGGGAGAGTGAGAGAGTGAGAGAGCGAGAGAGCGAGAGAGAGAAGAGGGGTGGATCCAAGGAGAGAAGACAGTGAGTGATAAACCGTGCGGGCGAAGTGAAGATCACCAACCCGCTGTTGCCGCTTACGACTTCCCGTATTATTTCCACCTCAGCATGAACCCAGTTGGGAGGTCTACCTATGTCTATTAGGAACTGTGCATGATTGAACGTTATCATATCCTGCTGAACTGAGGTAACCAGCCAGACAAGGCCTATCTATTACGAGTTGGCTATAAACGGGCAAATTCTGGTTCTGCAGAGATAATTAATCAGCCCATATCTGGCAAGTTTTGTTCAAAAACTACTAGTTAAAAAAAAAACAAGTAGAATTTATTAGGAACTGATTCCAATTGAATTACTTCGGGCCCTGCTGGACTAGAGAAAGGGATGAAAGTGTGGGATGTGACAGCTTTCCGCTGACGATGATCGCACGCAAAAAGGAACTGTTGAGACGATCAGTCCGGGGTCGCGTCTGAGTCCCATCGTAACTCGACCTCCCAGTACCAAGGCACTGCGCGACAGAGTGATAAAGCGATGGTCTACCGGATGGCTTTTGCTTAATTAATTGTCATTGAATCAACGTACGCGAGTGTATTAAGAAAAGAGGGGGGAAAGAGTGTGCTGAAGAGAGTGAACAGAGAGAGAGTGAACAGAAAGAGGAAGGGGGGAGGACATTGGAACACGGAGAGTGAAAGCGCAAAGAAATGGGTCACCGACCAGGGAGAGGGGAAACAGGGGGAGCGTACTAACTGACTGTGAAACAAACCTTTGTCTCGGCTCTCTGTACCCCTGCTAATGATTATGAATTGAGACTTGCTTGGCTCGTTGTTGTGTTTTTGCTAGATGATGAGATCTAAGCCTTGTCTGCAGCGTAACCGCTCCACTGAGCACTGAGAAACAGGTCTTGCTACAGCTAGCTGTTACTTATGCCATAAAGAATGAATTGGGCCCTGTTTCGCTCACTGTTATTTCGCTGAATGCTGTAAACCGTGCTGTTTTTGGGTTGCGATCACCCTTGCTGGTTAGTGCGAAACGAACCTAACTCTGGTCTTCCCTTAATCTGGCTGATTATTATGAAGTGAGCATTATTTGACAGTGATAAGTCTTGTTGACTGCTGCAACTCGAGTCTGGAAAAGGGCACTAGTGTTGTGCCGTCAGCGTTCCTCCCCAGATGGGGGGGAGCAATAGATCACTCGACCGCATCTACCCTACTGGTCGCTGAGGACCTCGGAAGAGGGCGCGGCGAAGTGACAGGCGCTGTAGCCCATGGCTTCAGCGAATAGTAGGTAGCCCTTCCCGGGTTTCCCCACACCGTGACCTGTGTTTTGATAGCTGATTGTTGTCTGTCATAGGTCTGTGTAGGTGTCGGGTCTTGAACCGTAGGTCTGTCGAGTAGGGGTCATAGCTGTGTAGCTGTTGCAACTCTGAAAGGTCAAGGTCGTCGCTGCTACAGTCCGGAAAGGTCAAGGTCATAGCTGCTACGATTCCGAAAGGCCAAGTCCACAGACTTCCGGAAGGTCCAGAAGTGGTCTTTAGAATGTTGCTCACGTTAGGCCAGAGGCGAGTGGGCAAGTGGGTAGTCCAACTTTGCTTAGTCAGCGGTACCCAGTCCCAGTCTCACTTTGTCCAGTCAGCAAGTACCATGTGGGAGTGTGTGCACCGTGGGCCGGTGGAAAAGGGGCAGACCAGCGACCAACAGACATATAAATCAAGAGGCAGCGTCCAGCCATTCATTCATTCCTGCGTGAGCCATGCGGGGGAAGCGCTGCTCTAGCATCTTGTGCGAGGTGGTCTGCAGATGCCCGAAGTTGAAGTGGGCCGTGAGGAAGAAAGAGCAGCCATCAGCCGTAGGCCATAGCTGCCATAGCTAGCGATAGGTGGTAGTGAAAGTGTGTATGTGCGTGTGTGATACAGAGTGTGTTCGTGGGATATCCAGGGAGATCCAGGGTGGAGTGCGTGTGAACAGTCGCCGTGGATACAGAGTTGGGAAGGGAAGTGTAGGCGGTTGGGCGCCATAGCCAGTCTGAAGTGAGTTTGTATCCGAACTGTGTTCTCAGCTTGAATATCTCTGAGCTTTGTGTGGGCGCCTCGCGCCAGCGCGCTTTGCCATCTGTTTGCATGCATGCGAAGTGAGAAGAAAAGACGAGTCTGATTTCACAGTGACAATAGACCCTTTTTTTTGTTTTTCTTTTTTAAAGGAGACTGTCAGATGCAGTTGCAGTAGACCCCCTTTCCAAAAAAAGAGATCGTCTAATCCGGTGAAGGGCAATAGAACTCAGACTTCGGGTTCCACGGTACAACACAATAGAAACAAATTCTCAAAGGGCTACCACGTCAATGATACCTCTACTGTTTTAACAATCATACCTTGTTTCCCACAATAACACAGCAGAACCGGATCCTCAAAAGACAAGACGACTGCCCACTCAACCCTCTACCATGTATTGGGAAAAAAAAAAAAAAAAACTCACACTTAAATAAATTGGTAAAAATTGCACAATACTCTACCACACTCCATCCTAATCTGTCCTTCTGTCCCCCTCTGTCTCTTTCCAATGGCTGAAGTGAGAGGAATGAAAGGATGAGAAAGTAGGCAAAAAGGAAAGCAAGCAAGGAAGGGCACCGAATGCAAGCCAAGAGGCAGACCAACCAGGGGATGCGAGGCTCTGTCAATGAACTTTGGTTCCCATAGAAGGAATAGAAATGAGTTGGGAATCAAATCAAATGAATGAAGAGAGGAGTAAGCGGGGCACAGCAGGTAGGTAAAACAAGGCAAGCAAGGAGGGGCAGGCACAGAATACAAGGCAAGAGGCGGGGTTGAAAACAAGGCAAGCAAGGAGGAAGCGCTGTCCACTCCCATCCCTTAACAGAATCTGCCAGCCACTGTTTCCTTCTAAGCTCCTTCCACACCTCCCTCCCTACTCTCTTCTTGGTCTCCTTCTGCATGATAAATCAGTTAAAACTTAACAGAACTTTGGTTGCCAGTAACATGGAAGGAGATGAAGCCTGCACAGCCCCACACTCGGTCACTACTTCCCTTCAGTCTAGTTCCACTTCATGTAACTTCAAAACGTCAGGRAAAAAGAGCCCTATCCAGAGACGCTCCCTCGCGAAGAGCTGGCCTAAGGTGATCATTTATTTTGCAGACCTGAAACAATGGGCAATGTAAAAAATGATGAACTGAATCAGTTGAAGCAACACAGCCTCTATACAAGCTTATAGAGAKTGAGCRCGCATATCACCATGGTTTTCCAGAATCGGCAGGGGGTGTGCTTCTGTGTTGAAAACAACAGAATCGAGTGGCATTACCCCTGGATCACCAAACAGCAAGTAGAGGTACTTGAGTGTTTCCCCAACGAAGAAAGTCTCCATCTTGTCCCTCCGAGGTGGGGGAACCCGTGTGACATCTTGAAGAGATGAATAACCACCTGTTTCCACCTTGGAATAGTTCTCGAAAGCCTGGAAGATCTTCCAACCCCATTCACGATACTTGCCATCGCCTGTGATTCTATATAAATAGAACAGACTCTCTACTGTCTCTGGTCGCAGGAGGTTGTGTCTGTCCTGGCTGTGAATCACAATATCTTTACCGTACCATGCATCAGGGCGTGTGCCTCGGTCAGGGTCATCACCCCCTTCCTGCCTTGTGTTGAAATAGGCTATCTCCGGGGCAAGTCCTGTCAGCGTGGCATTGTACATTTCAAAACATGTATGTGTCAGCTCCTCTGCGATCTTGAGATCATCCACATCCCGTTGGGAGAGAAGGCCCGTGGCTTGTGCTTGCTTGAGTGGCATGCCACGCGTTGCTCCCAGAGCGAGTGTGCCAGGCAAAAAGCACACAAGGTGATCCATTTTCGGGTATTTTCCACCACCAGGCCCTGAAGGCAACTCTGCAACATATGTGAGACCTTGAGGGAAGGATCGCGATATTAGCCGTGTCTTCACACCTGTCATGGCCTCGTCATACATTTTCCTCAGCCACGAGACATGTTCCCCTCCTGGGCGAGCTCCGCCCTGTTGCATCCACATCTTGACGAGGTATTCATAGTAGCTGTCCCCGCGAGAACCGAGCCGTATGTTGTCACCTTGAAATTGACCGGTTGATGGGCTGATGAAGATGGGAACGAGACCGTCTGTTTTCGGGAGGATTGACAAATGCCGCATGAGCTTAAGGGCAGCATCACCAAACTGGTAGTCACCTGTAAGCTGGCTGACATACCAGAGCTCCAACCCGAGGGTGGCCGCCTCAGMTGTGCTGCTCGACCCCATATCRAACTTCGAAGCCGATGCACGACCCGTTGCCAGATGCACATCTGACAAAGGGACTGCAGTTGGACTGTCSCTGAATGCTCCCATTAACTTACCTGCCAACACCTTCGCCTTATCCAAATAGACGCTGGCCTCCGGCCCAGCAGACGAATACCCCTTGTCGCGCAGAAAGTATGCGCTTAGCAGCCCGCCCAGCACTCGGATGGTTGTCTCAAAGACATTGACATCCCCACCATACATCAGCCTGTGCTCCAGCTCATGCTCCACCCAGCCCCCTGCTTCATCCACGATGTCACTTAATCCCATCAGCATGGCCGTATCGAGACCGTCAATGATAGTGGCACCGAGACCGCCCAGATTATTCAAGCCACGTCTTGCAAGCGGAGCCAGCTCATCGTATCCCCATGCAAACTTCTTGTACCCTTCCCATGCACGTGTAAAGGCTTCTGTCACTGCCTTTTGCCTTGCCTCCCAGGGGTCAGTCAAAACTTTTCCTGATCCACCTCCGTATGCCGAATTCTTAACATCTCCCCCCAAACGGAGACCAACCAACTCACGTCCGCTGGCATCAGCCCTGTGCTTCTTCCTCCCCTTCTCTTCCTCAAGCTGGTTTCCCTTGTTCTCCTGCTTCACTTTGATAATGGGAGATTCAATGCCAGCATTTTTGGAACTGACCTGAGACTCCATCAACGGCCCTGGATGCACTCCATCATTCAATTCCCCATCCTCCTCTTTCTGCAGTGCAGTTTTATGCTGCTCCCCATGTGGATGTTCTTCTTCTGCTCTCAGAGTCCCCATGTCATTCCCTTGTCCCCCAACCAGTTTCTTGGCTATCCCGAGGCCGTCAAAATCTCGTGCTACCTCCCCATCCACATCTGTCCCTCCTTGAACCATATTGATGATAGGATTGCCCTTCCCGTCGTGGTTGTCTCCCACCCTCCTTCGTGTCCTATCATCCTTCTTCTCTTCCTCCTTTTTCATAAACCACAGTCCTAATCCTACTCTGCGCCGCCCACCTTCCCCATTCACTCCTTCACGAGTTTCCCTGTTTGTATGCTCTGCTGTATTTGTACCCCACGTACGCCACTGCTGAAGCTCCTCATGATGAATGCCGTCGTCCTCATCGTCCACATTCGCACCACCATCATCTTCCATGGTTCTTTCCACTTCACCTTCTGTGACAATTTCATGCTGCACATTTGCACCTGCCCATCGTCCAAATGACAAGGCCAAGGGCAAAGAGAAATCTTCATCCTCAAGATCATTGACACGTGGCAGGCTAGCAAATGTCCAGGCCAATGCCACCACAACCAGCAACAAGAGAAGCCCCAGCTTCAGCAAAATCCAACCGTTCCGGCGAAGCAAGGCAGGAAGACTGCGTCTCACAAACCCTGACCTCAGTGACTTGTCATTATCGTAAACTGCAGCCTCACTCAAGTGCACCGGGAGCTGCATTGTGCATTGTCTTTGCTTTCCACGTCAATGCTTTGGTCAGACAAGCAAGAACAACAAAAAAAGATGGAACCTGCCAAACCACCACCACCAGGAGTAAATGCTACACACCATACACAGTGGCAGCCTGGACTACGTAGCTGACCTGGATACCTCATCCAGTTCACCTGTCACCAATGGCGAGGATGGAAAGAGCAACAATTGACCCCTCACAACCTTTTCTGAAAGACTGTAATAACAAAGGATCTATTATCTCAAACAAACATCTCCGATAGGGCTAAGATAATAATCACACCAGTTTAAACCTTTGTCCCCCCTTCTTTCTTTTGGCATCTACTCCTCCCTCTTCTATAGCCGAATCTTCCTCCCAACCTCTCTGCTTTCAACTCCTTCCTCTCCTCTCCTCTATAGCCGAATCCTCCTCCTCTTGTGCGCATACCCCAAGTATGGGAGGGGAGGCCTTACTGTTTTGCCAACCACCCTTCCCAAAACCTTGCATTAGGGTGAGAACGACAACCCATCATGACGTAATGGAAACAGACATGGCAATGATGGGGCTACGATACGCTGAAGATGACATGACGCCCCTCCTGAGGGGACAAGTCCCAAGTCTTCTCCACTGTATCACGGACGGCAAAACAAGTACGTCAGTGCAGTGTTGCAATGGACCAACCATCTTGGCAGATTTTCATCATCCCTGATGCACTCATCCACCATCACTTTGGACCTGCCCAAACAATGAGATCCATGTCAGTCAGTGACTACCTGCTGTCCAATGCAGAGGATTGGAGTGAGCTAAGTACATCCTTCCTTCACAGAACGAATCACCCCAACGTGTTATTTTGAACCGCCTCAACATCCACACAAACTGTTTTAACAAACTCCCATGCATGCCCAATACCCTAAAGGGAAAGATCGCCATCAACGGAGCCTGAACATCAGGATGACCCTCTTCAAGAACCCTTTCCATTTGCTCACAGACAAACACCGGATGACACAAGCAAGCCCAAAGTGAATGCCCTCTCTCCTCCAGAACCTTCTTGAACAGATTTTGCCTACAAATTGGCCTATCTGTGACAATTTCATGCTGCACATTTACACCTGCCTACAAATGCCTATCTCTGGCACGGCCTGTTTGCAAGAGAGTCTACATCGAATTCCCAGGCTTTCTGAACCGGTTATCAGCTTGGGATTAAGGTTTTGGGGTTGAGGTTTAGGATTGTGAGTGAAGATCTGATTGGCCTGTGACCAATTAAACTCCGTTAGTGCTGCATTACTTGAACTGGCAGCTGAGAGCTTTATTCATTGCAACTTACTTCGCCCTGAAACAGAATCCCGTCCTGGGCTGGCGGGCATACTACTACAAAAAACAAACAAAAAAAAAAGAAAAATAAATAAAATTTAATAAATAAACGAAAACAAGAGGACTATACAAGGATTTTACCCACTCATCTCTAATGACAGGCAGACTGGAGACTGCAGATTCACACCATAGCCATGGAGAGAGATTGCAGAGCAGAAGCCAAAACCAGTTATAAAAATTCATACTTGCAACGGCACTGCGCGCCGCACCGTCCGGTGCGCCGTACGGGGTCCGGTCCGGGACCTTCCCAACCTCCGTACAGGCCCGTACCCGTACCGTACCGTACGGGTTCCGGTCCGGGACCTCCCCAACCTCCGTACAGGCCCGTACCCGTACCGTACAGGACCGCACGGGGTCGCGCGCTGTCGGGTGCGGCCATATCCTGTCCAGAATCTTGTTTTCTTTTTTTTTTTTTTTTTCATAATCACTGCAAGGTGGGTGCAGCAATCACCTTTCCTCTATCCCTACCCACACTCGACACACTACTAGTAGGAAGACTGCTGCCGCCGTCATTCGCCCTTGCCACATGGATCAACACCTGCCTCAACCCCTCCTTTTTTTTTTCTTTTTTCTTTTTTTGTCAACCCCTCCTTCACGGACCCCATCTTCATGGCCATGCCATTTTACCAAAGCGGAACACGTGGCTCGTCATCGTGAGCTGCACACAAAACCGCAGAAGAGAAGTCAAGAACTCAGCCGTGTCCTGTGTCGACTCCGAATAATGCACATCCCCCACCCCCTTCCCTCTCCCCATGAAACCCCATCATATCAGCCTTATTCCACCCCCTCCTAGCCCCCTAACCCCCCAAAAACCCCACGAAAATAGGACTTCACTGCTTTTGCAAAACATCAACGGGGAGAAAAAAGCGATAAATTGCCTTTCAGAAGCGGAAACAATTGCTTTTCCAAATGTCCATGGAAAAAAAAGGTGACGACAACAACGTGACAAGGAGGAGGAAACACAATCGGAGTTCGATTTGCAGAGTTCCTTTCAAAAAAAAAAGAAAAAAAAAAAGTTACGAGGGCATGACAAGGAGGAGATGAGATGGAGGAGGAAGATGAGGAGATGGAGAAGGAGGATGAGAAGGAGGATGAGGAGGAGGAGGTGAGGAGGACAAATGGACGAGGACAACGACGACGACGACGTGATAAGGATGAGGACAAATACCATCACAGTTCGAACACAGAAGTTTCCAGTAAAAACAAAGAAAAAAGTGACGAAACCGTGATGAGGAGGATGAGATGGAGAGATGGAGGTGGAAAGGTGGACGAGGAGGGATGGAGGAGAAGGACAAGGAGATATGGAGAAGGAGAAGGAGGAGGACGACGACGAGATACCATCACAGTTCGAGGTGTCCACAAAAAAAATGAACTGACGAGGCCGTGACAAGGAGGATGAGAGGTGGAGGTGGGGAGATGGAGAGATGGAGGAGGGGAGATGGAGAGATGGAGGAGTGGAGATGGAGAGATGGAGGAGGAGAGATGGACGAGGAGGGATGGAGGAGAAGGACGACGAGACATGGACGAGGAGGACGACGAGGAAATACCATCACAGTTTGTACTTCAGAGTTTCCATTATAAAAATACTAAAATATATAAAAATACTAAAATAAAAAAGTGACGAGGCGGTGACAAGGAGGATGAGAGGTGGAGGAGAAATGCAGAGATGGAGGACGAAAGATGGACGAGGAGGGATGGAGGAGAAGGACGAGGAGACAGAGGAGGAGGAGGACGACGAGATACCATCACAGTTCGAATTTCAAAGTTTCCATTAAAAAAAAAAAAAAAAAAAAAGTGACGAGGCCGTGGCAAGGAGGATGAGAGGTGGAAGAGTAGAGATGGAGAGATGGCGGAGAAGAGATGGAGAGGTGGAGGAGGAAAGATGGACGAGGAGGGACGGAGGAGGACGAGGAGGAAAGATGGCCGACTAAAGGTAGAGGAGGTGATACCAACACAAATCGAAGTTCACACAAGAAAAGGTGACGAGACCTTGACAAGGAGGAGGCCGAGGAGGACAGCAGGAGGAGGAGGAGGAGGAGGAGGAGGAGAAGGAAAGATGCACGAGGAGGGGAGGCTGATGAGAGGTGAAGGAGGAAGTGACGAGGAGGAGAGATGGAGGAGGGACGAGGAGGAGGCGGAGAAGACGAGGAGATAGTCCGAGATACTATCAAAGCTCCGAGTATAAGATCCGATACTACGGAAAAAAAATAAAAAAGGAAAGGACAATACCGAGACGAGGAGGAGGAGGAGGAGGAGGAGAAGGGGAAGATGTGGAGGAGGAGGAGGAGGGGGAGGAGGAGGAGGAGGAGGAGGTGAGTTCGAGGGAGGGCAGGAGGGATGGTAAAGACTCACCTTCGAGGAGGGTTGAAGCCGGCGATGGTCGTGACGATGCATATGCAGGGGGAGGTCGGCGCTGCTCGTAGCGGGAGACTGACGGCGCTGCTTTCCGGGGCGAGGTCCCACTTGCACAAATTAGGAGATTTCCGCCGTTGATCTTTGCTATCTACGGTCAGTATCTCTTAGCCCCCGGAGTGGACTGGAGGCGGCTGCAATGAGTAAACGGCCCGCACAAACCCTGCCAGTATCTACCTGCGAAAACTATGAAAAAGGTACCGGCCCGAAAAAAAACAATTTGGGCCCCAAATCCATCTTTTTTAATTTTTGGGCCCAGGGATGAATCGACATCCCGCGGCTTTTTTTTTTTTTTGAGTTTGGCCTGGGCCTTCGTGCGCCGCGCAGGTCGTGCGCCGCTTCGTTGGGGTGCGCTTGAGCGCCAACGGTCCGCAAATCACCGCACGACGTGCTTGCATGTATGAAAATTGAGAGAAAAATGTTTCAATCAATTATTTATCACAGCCCCTGGGGCCAAGTCCCACTAGCAGGGTTGAGTTTCCTCGACGTCTGAATCTGGACGTGTTTGTCCTGAGGTGCACAAAATCACATTGAGTTTCCTGAACTGCCCAATTTCCGTAACACGTCCCGATTTGGGCGTTGTTGAGAAAACTCAACGCTGCTAGTGCCACTTGGCCCAAAGACCAAAAAGAAACGGGTTGTTTCGTGTTTTTTTTTTTTTTTTTTTTCCCCTCCGTTCTATTTGTGGAGAACGATACAGACGAAGGAAGATTAGCATGGCCCCCTGCTCTAGATTGGCATGGCCCCCTGCTCTCCTCCTGTCAACCGAACAATTTATATCCTCACGAAAATAAATCCTTCAACACATTCAAAGATTCAACCAATGCTGGCTAGGAGGAACCCAAGGGCGGAAGATGGGGAAGGTTGAATGGGAAGGGGCAAGGAGGTGAAAAGGAAGATCTGAGTTGGGATTATAAGCTTGCTTTTAATGACTGGACTATGATAGACCCAGCAATCCCTTTACGACCACTATCGGATTTCCCAGACCCCTTTTCCCCCTCGGCTCTAAGTCTAGTCTCAAGGGCTTGGTTTGGGTATGAGTGAAGTTAAAAGGTAGGATAATTTTTTTTTTTTTTTTTTTTTTTTTTTTTTGAACCCATTTTTTTTTTTTTTTTTTTCAACTGGGAACCGGGCCCAGCGTCCCATAACGGGTACCTTCAGAAAACGTTTTTGGAAAATCGTCAAGGAATTTTCAGGAAACCTGCGTATACTACAGACCTTTGACCAACTGCTCATTAAACTGCTCATTGAACCTCCTCAAAAACCTCTGTACCCCACTCCAGCAAGACCTAGCTGTGCCCTATTCCTATCCTACTAGCTAGCCCCCTCACTAGTAGGACGCGTAATATCCACCCATCTACTAGGCCATTGCATATCCTTGCAAACTCTCTCTACTGCCTTCTTCTTCCAGCGACGAGCTGACCTCCTCCACCACGTAGTTCGCCGGATGAAGTAACAGCAGCAGGAGATGAATTCACAGGGTATCGCAGGGAGCAGCAGCATGCAGCAGTCTTCTTCATCTCGCGACGAGCCGACCTCCTCCACCACATAGTTCGCGGGATGAAGCAAGAACAGCCTACACAGAAGTCATCAGAGGTCCCTCCCACTTACCCCCTACTCTTCATCGTCTTCCAACGAGCCGACCTCCTCCACCACATAGTTCGGAAGATACGAACAGTAGACAAACAACCTACCCAGTCCCATAGTGGTTGAGAGTAGACTTTCTACTATTCGTCTTCCTTCGACGAGCCGACCTCCTCCACCACATAGTTCGAAGAAGAGGAATAGAAGAAGTCCACTCACAAAGGGTAGTAATAGGTAGTAATAGGTAGTAGCAAAATCTGAACACTATAAAGACATCTTTCCGAGAGAAAGCAGCAAAACCAAAACCCAGGTAGGTTGACACTCAACTATCCCAACCTCAAACCGGCATCGACCTCCCTCCTCAATATCAAGACTCTTCAAGGCCTCACAACCCTATCTGCTAGTGACGAGGTAGCGCGATGCCTACCGCAGAAAACTCCCATCTATTAGGTTACGGGGTGGAACGACCCACCTCGGCTCCGGCCCGCGTCGCCTTGATACCAGCCCCAAACAGCCACAGAACCACCTCCCCCCTTAGGCAGTTCCTTGGACCTCTTACCAGGCCTCCAGAGCCCTCGTCACGCTCTAGTTATAGGGCAGCACGACCTAACCCGCAGCTCCAACCAGCATCGTTCCAACTCGGTCATCCGAAAACAGAGGGGTGGAAGGCAGATAGCGCAGCATCAACTGAACAGCCAAGCATCACCTCAACCCGGATTCCAGATTCGATGACACTAAACTCTCCCAGAACTTTGGTAGACAAGAATATAGCCTAAGTAAACAAGGACTTGACCTAAATTAGTCTGTCACAACATGCACGAGGTTGGATTCACCAACCAATTTCTAGAAATAGATTTTAGCCAAATTTTGGAGACCATCCCAAAGATCCACAGAACCTAGGAATCCTAGGAATTAAGGAATAAAAGTTTAGAAGTCAATCAACAATGATGGTGCTGAAAGGGATTTGGATTTTAGAAGAGTCAAACATAGAACTTATATTGGTAAAACATTCAGAGTTGCGAATCTATCAAAAACAAGTCTGATTAAAGACTTCGAATTTGCAATTGTATTGGACTTAAGAATTGACAATTGTAATAGATTATTGGAATTTAAAGGAATCGTGAAAATAAAATTCTCATTGCCTAATCAAATAGGAACATCATTTAACAGATATAACCAGAAGAGCACGGTTTAAATGGATGAAAATCAAAATATAAGAATCAGATATTAATCAAGAACTGAAAAAGGAACTACATACTGGAGCAAAATCCTATCAGACAAAATCTACTCAATCAGAACAATCATCTTAGAAAGACAAAAGCATAGCTGGAGAAAGAGTACCCCAAGTCCCAACTCTTCATAAACCATCCCTCCCCCCTCCAAACCCCACCTCCTCCTTCATTGGCTTTGCGAGCAAAACTGGCCACCTTGTAGTCGACACTCACTCGACCATCCTCAAAGGCCAGTCGACGAAGATAAAACGGACCATGGCAACCACGTTGCGAGCCCAACCGCTGAACCTGCCAGCCGCCCCTCGCAGGTTAGTCCAGAGAGATGGAGGGATGTCGTCGTCCAAAGCACCACCACCCTCACCATGCTTGCAGTACTATTTCCTTCCAGCTGCACCCACGAAGCCCTGTCACCGGGGAAACGCACACCTCAG